ATATTGAGAAGTAGAATCATTATATAAAACTTTTGCTTTTCGGAACCGAGGAGAGGGTGCTACTGATGAGTCCCAATAGGACGAAATAGGCGCCTATATAGCACTAGACCTATGGCTCAAAATATGTCATATCCTTATTAGATTAAATCATTTTGAGCGGGTCTGTAAAAAAGCAGTCGATAGCAGAAGTATAAGCTCATTTTAAAAGCCGTAAGCTCGACTGCCGGTCACCACAAAGTCAGGTGATACCATCATCCTACTTTGGATGCTTAGTTTTTACTCGGAGCCGATTCCTTTAGAGGATTATTTCACCTCAAGGGATCGACGGAACCGAGGGAGGGTGCTACTGATGAGTCCCAATAGGACGAAAATAGGCGCCTATATAGCACTAGACCTATGGCTCAAAATATGTCATATCCTAAAACTTTTGCTTCAAATTTCTGTGATTTGCATCGGACTATCGGCGCCCATGCACCATCATCAATGTCGTCGAGCTCAAGAAGAAACCTTCTCTACTCTAGAGACACGTGTTGCACCAGATATGCCATATCAAGTCTTTTCCCTATTTTCATTAGGCGGGAGAGGATGTACGCCATGACTATCTCAGCAAAGACTATGCTCAGAAATTAGTATATCAACGTAGCAGGCTGGCTTTGGTGAAGTGGAGCTTGTTTGAGTTGACACTTAACCGTTTACGATATACAACTCAGTTAGGTTTATAGGTGAAGCGAGATTTATGGCACATATGCACGTAAATACATAAATACAATTTGTGGCATATACGTACAAACATGTGCACATAAATCCTCATTCTCAAAGAAAATATGAAGACGCATGCAAACATTACATTTATAAGTCAGTTTAGTCAGCAATACAGAGTGAGCAAAAGTCTCTTCTGTTTTTCTCTTTCCTTTTTAGAGTACATACTCGATAAAAAAGGCTAGCCACTGAGAATAGAATATGAAAGAGAGATGTGTTCAGTTGTTGATTAGCTCAATATTATGCTGAATCGTTATATGCTGGCTGATATAAACACCAGCTTCTGCAGAATACATAGCCATCAAAACAAAAACGAATAATTAAATAGCGACAATAGATGAGCATTTATCTACGTGGAAAGGAACCATTTGTGTGTGTGATTATCATTGGAAGCGTGCATTCTGTTCGATGAGACAACGAATCCTCACATTGAGAGGACAACCAACTGTGTAGCACCATGTCAAATCAACGTGGCTCCGACAAAGGCGAAGTCGCCGGAGCGTTAGCCAAATAATTGTTTTTTCATGTGGATCTAGTGTCAGCTGTCATATAAAATTGCCACTGAATTTTACTGTATGAGTGGAAAAAACATGCAAACGGTTAGTAAGAGTGTCAATGCGTTGCGATTTTGTGAGTAATATGGTTTTCGAGACCTGTAATTTCCAAAATTTCAGTTGCTTGTCATCAAAAATACATAATGTCACTTGGTGTCATATACAACAACGAAATATGAAAAGAGTTTCCTTCAAATCAAAAGCTGAAGTGGCAGGACAATAATGCTCTGGTCAGCTTCACTCGGAGTTTAGGGTTATTGGGAGCTTTGATATCAGATTACTGATTACATGCATGCATAAGAGTCGAGAGTTGACAGTTTTCCACAAGTTTTTGGAATCTGAAGAAATTTTTCGCACTTATGGCATCTTTGAGCCATGTGAATAAAGGCAGAGGTGAAAACGGTGGTCAAGAGGTAAGTGATGCTCGGCGTGGAGTTAATCCTTCCAACATTTCCCGGCAACCATTCAAGGAGCGCTCTTGAGAACTCACTATCTGGCTATCCCTCCTCATTCCAAGATCTGTCTCGGCCAATATTCCATAATATTCATGAAGAAAGCGAAATTCTCAAGCAAGCGATGAATTTGAGAGGACAAATTTGGTGTTCGAAGTATTGGGATCTGCTTAGGAGTGATGTGATACGAGTTCCATGCTGGGCAGAATGGCCAGCACAAATTATTAGACGGTGCGAAAACTTGGACCTGAATTTCAAAATGCTAATTGAAATGATTGTAATCAATCGGAATTCAATTATGTGACCGCCTCTTGCGGTGGTATGATCTAATAATATACCCAGTATTGTAGAGTGCTATGCAAAAGCATTTGTGTCAGCCGGGATCTGAAAAACATCTCAGTTTTTTCGGGAGCGCATGCTGAACCGTTGCACTACCGACGTAAATTTATTGTAAGGCTCTTCTTGGCACCACGTTTATTCCATGAAAGTCTATTTCTTAAGAAGAGAGAAAACTGACAATAGAAGTAGCTCTCCCAACGATATCTTCATGCAAAGATTGATCATATTCTCACAAACAGACTATGGAACATTGCGTAATAATTCGAAACCTTATTCTCCTTAGACTTAGACATGAAAAATGAAAACTGTAACATGCGTTGTTCACTCCGAAGGTTGCGCTAGAATGGTACATTTCTCTAAAATCGACTGCTGACGTTTCCGTGAACACGCCTGTCTTAGATACCAGACGCACTTAATCAGACCATATTTTATTATTCCGTTAATATCAACCTACATCGCTACAACTCAGCACAAAAAATCAGCTGGGGCGGTTTTCTTTATTATCAGTCTGTTGACAGAAGAAGATAAAGATAGAAGCATAGTTGTTGAAAGATTAATGAAATAGTATTCAATCTAGTAAAATGTAATCGCAACGCGTAGCAGTCTTGATTGCGAGGTCCATCCTAAACCACATACTTCAAAAGAAGTACAGAGTTTAGGGGACAAAAGTTTGAAAAGAATTATATGAGAATAGTAAACTTCACGCGAAAAATCGCTCAATTATGAATATCTGACCGTCAACAGAAAAGTTGAGTAGAAATCGAAACCTCATTTTGTATTTTGAAAATTTCATTAAGCTTTAAGTCATTTACAAAAAAAAATAATTTTTCGGATACTTTATTGATCGATCTTCGCAGTGCTTCTTTTTTTTTCACTGTGCGGATATCAGTACTTCTAACACTTAGTTTGTTGTTCAGTTTTCTTCTTAAACGTCGTGGAATACTGTCTGAGCGAATCCCCTTGCAAGTCGAGGACAGCGTGGGTGCGGCGTTCCATAATGCGTTGTTAATGACTGCCGGGGAGAGTTGAGTGTAAAGGTCGGCTCGACTCACGCGACGACGAGCAGCACAGCCACTGAGCCGCGGCGCCCCCAAAAAATATATTATGCATATCAAATACATTGTATAGTACATATGTTGTATGTACTATACGTATTATATGTATACTACATATTTTGTATGTGTTATATATCATTAATATACATGAGACTTTTAAACTGAACTAAGTATAACAACATGTATTATAATTTATATTTAACTACTATTCTCTTTTATCATACTAATATACTATATATTGTACTAAATTACTATGCTAAGCTACTATGCTATATTATACTTTACTATTGCACGTATTATGTTATACTATTATACTATACTGTGTAGTAAAAACATTGAAGAGTTGAAAGTGTCCACAACTTGAGAATATTGCGTAAATGTTCACTATTAGTTGCAACACACATTGTACTGTGTAACTGTGTAGGTTTTCATAACACACCTTATGAAAACGTTCAAAGTACATTTACAGGTAACTGTGTTCTTGAACGAGGCCTCAAAATAGTCAGTTGGAGTGCTTGTTACCTATGCCCACGTAACAGCCAAAGTAGCAACACACAACTGAAGACAAGAAATGGTACGCTACTTCTTTCGAATGCTAATAATTGTTACTTACCTAGTTGAACGACGGAGCTCATGCTACGTAGGAATCACAGATCAAAAGCACGTTTGTCAAATCATTCTCCAATCAAGTTTCTAAGGACTAATGAGTTCTAGGACTATACACTTTGGGTTCTCACACAAGTGAAACACATTGAGCATATCAATATTCTCAACTGACCGTTTTGAAACCTTACTCAGAAATCCAACAGGACCTGGTAGAATTTGTGAGGTGCGAGTAGTCGAATGGCATGTGCTTTTGTTGAGTTTGCAAAAAAAGCGAAACATGCACCGAGCGCTCGAGGATGCTATACTGCCTGAGCTAGATCTAGACTGAGTTTCTTTCAATGTCTCAAACTTGTTCATTGACAGATCCTTTCGTTATTATATGAGCCAACATATCATGTGGTCTGGTAAGGGCTCTTGTACAGCCCGATACACGTGTTTTGTCCTTGCAGACTCGTCAGTCGGGCAGAACCCGTTGTCTTTCGATCTTTTTTTAGTCAGTTCTCTCGGGAGCCCTACTTTCCCTACAGAGAGCTATTGAAGACGAACGTTTTACACTCTATGTAAGTGAGATTTTCACTTAACACTAGGGAGAGTAGGGCTCCCGAGAGAACTGACCAATAAAAACATCGAAAGACGAAGGTTCTGCCCGACTGACGAGTCTGTAAAAAACGAAACACGTGTATCGGGCTGTACAAGAGCCCTTACCACACCACATGACATGTTGGCTCAAATAATAATGAAAGGAACTATTGCAATTTAAGCGTGGTCTTAATAAAACACTCGAAATAAAGGTATAATATGATATAAATACTAGCCAAAGAGCAATCGATTGTACACACTCTGTGTTAGGTGAAAATTCCAGTTGACATAGAGTGCAATACGTTCGTGTTCAATAACTTTCTGTAGGGAAAGTAGGGTTTCCGAGAGATCTACTATAAAAAGATTGAAAGACGACGGGTTCTGCCCGACTGACTATTCCGTAAGGACGAAACAGGTGTATCGGGCTGTACAAGAGCCCTTACCAGACCACATAACATGTTGGCTCAAATATTAAGAAAGGATCTGTTGAAATTTGAACGTGGTCTTAATAAACACTCGAATAAAAGTTCATTGACATTGTTAATATGTTATAGTATACCCAATATGTGAAGTGCTGTGCAAAAACGTTTGCGTCAGCCGGGATTCGAACCCAGATCTCACTCTTCTCACTCAAATAAGAGTGCTGCGCAGAACGAGCGTCGGTAGTGCAACGGTTAGCATGCGCTCCCGGAAAGAGAGAGATCTGGGTTCGAATCCCGGCTGACGCAAACGTTTTTGCACAGCACTTCACATATTGGGTATACTATAGCATCATACCACTGCAAGTGGCAGTTAAAATAGAAAGAATTTAGATTGTTAATATGATTTATTGACGTGGAGTGAAAGTGCATGCAATAACTTTGATTCCTTTACTAATAGGGTACATGAAGAAAAACCCAACTGAAAGACACGAAATGATAAAACCACAAGTTTTGTGCCAGTTTCTCAAGAAGCTGATCGTCCACTAATGCAAAAGAAATACCTAGACAAAGTTTATTTAGATAATTACACAACTACGCCAAATGTTTTACTGACCATCTATTAACAAATGCAGCTGACACCGCTCTTTTTGAAAACCTTGCAAATAGTTCACGTATTCTTTTTCTTCTTTAGTCGACTGTTTTTCGCAGGCTTCGTTAACACTTTCATATGTGGTCTCTAACAATGCCCTCAACCGTCTTTTCGAGGTTTGCTTGCAGTTTCATCCGTTCCAACAGTACAGAAGATGCGCGTTTTGGAGGTTTCGCCATCATCGGTTTCGTTTCTCGGCCAATCAGTCCCTATCATAGGAATTGAACGTCGAAGAATGGTAAGCTTTTGTTAATTGAAATTATCACTGACGGTTTACCTACAGTCGATGCCTTGCGATGGTTTGAGCAACGTAATACCTTTATTAACCTACTCTTTCTCGCAAACCTCGTTATAACATTCGCAGTTCTTGAGAATGGTTTTAGCCGTCTTTCAGATGTTTGGTTACGAATTTCTCAGAGACTTATTTTTCCTTCTTCCTTCATAGACAAAACTTTCTGTAGATAGTTTAGGATTTCATCAAATATTCACCATGTGATGTTTTTCAGCCTGTAATAAATATCGCGTAGTCTTTTTTTAATGATTGATCTAAGGCGTAGTTGCTATAGAAGTTTTTACTTGGCTAAAATTTCGGCACTTTCGCGACGTTCTACACTTACGCACTTTAGTTGTGGGAATTTTCGTTGGCATCGAGTTGAATTAAGTGAAGTGGATCATTGCTCGAATGAAGAAATTAGGATAAATTATCACAGCTATCATCTCTCCAAAAAACCATGTTTAGTCTACGGCGAGCAACAGTTCGAATGATTATTGACGACCTGGCTGACAAAAAAGCTCTGTGTGGTTGTACGTTTCTAGATCTCTCCCTAACGTAAATGTTAACCGACAGTTGCTTGCCAAAAGTACGATAGTTCCTTCTATTTCCAGACACCTCAATTTAGCATGATCGAATCGCACATTTGCAACAAAGTTTTGTATTGGTTTGACTAAAATATAAACGCGTCGAGTACAACTTATGCTGGCAACAACTGTCAGTTGCTCAGGTTTCTTTTCTAACTCTCTTAATGAAAAAAGTACACAAAGTTATTCAAAAACCACAAAAAATACGACTGGTAGGTGCGTATTCGGGAATTTGTGAATATGATTCGCTATCAAGACCGCGTGAAATATAAATATTCATAAAAACCTATTCGGAGTACAGAACGATTGCCAGAAAGCCTGATACCTCCACAACACTTGACTTAAGCCTCAAAATCCTTGCTGGACAAAAGTTATTCCAATCTCCTCTCTCTGGAGCACGAACAGTGATCTGTGAACGGGTTCTATAATATATGAGAGACGAAAATAATATTGTTAACAAATTTCGAAGAGCTTTAAGCACATGTAACAAATTTCTAAGAGTTGGAAGCTATCTAATACATACTTTTGTTGTGGAGCTGTGATAATGTCGGCGAATGAGGGATGATCAGAGCACTGCAAGGATTTGAGACTGGTTACACTGCTCAAAAAAAAAGAAGGTCTTGAAATTTGAGAAAGCGAATTCAGCACCACTTCAAATTCTAAGTCGCTCACATAAGAGGAAAGAAAAAAAAACGTATTAGTTGTAATAATTCTAAAAGCGACTATTTATTAATCTCGGCATTCTTTAACAATTCACACTATTTCCTTCTAAGTCGAAACTCTAAGTGGTATAGGGCAGTTTATTCATAAACTAAAGTTTCGACGGTTTCGTCTCTTAACTGCAGTGATGGCGAAACAATATAAAAATCACCGCCTTTTTCTCTTATCTCTTTCCAAAAACGTCTTATAATCACACACACTTTTTTAACCCAACCGTAAAGTCCAGAACGTATGGCACTTTCAAGCTGAATCATTACAACGAAGGTTGTTGTTGAAATCATGAATACTGTGCCATTATGGGGGTTTTAGATTGTTATCTACAATAAATACATTTCGAGTATTGTTGCACTGTGCTTGATCGGGTATTCAATCAAAAATCGACGCATTCATGTAATCAGTCCAATTCGAGTGGTATAACTATATTATCCAATAGGTTTGCAGAAAAAAACTTCTTATTGTCTCAGAAAATGGTTTTTACACATTGTTTAGTGCGAAATTTGAGCTCATTAGAAAAGCTCATTTTGTTCGCATTGAAAGATATTTCACTTGTCTACACAACGTTCCGAAATGGTAATGTCAAGCAAGAAATTCGCCTGGTGCTATAACTTCCACTACAAATTAGTTTCAATGTTTCTGAGATTCATCGACAAACTTGAAAGGCGTATGGTGACACAATTTGCGCAGCTTAGCGTTGATTCAAGGCATTCCGTGAATGCTGGACAGAAAGACTACATCGACTATTAATTGACCTTTTGTCTGAACTTAGTTGGTGTCAAATGGATTTTTGCTTTGCATTTTGATAATACGGCAACACTTTTTTTGCAACCTTTTATTCTTGAGTGCACTAAATCGAATATTTCGATAGGATACAGTACGCAACCGAAATTTACTAGATTGACGCCGTAAGTGGATTATTTTTTATTCAAATTTAGTAGTGTATGGATTGAGCTGTTCGCAAACGAGATGTGACGCCCATGGCTGTTTATAAGCAGCGGTTCGCAGCCTTCACCACATAGGATTTCCGAAATGTCCCTAGCAGCTCTCCTGGTATTCTACGGCATTATTTGTGGATGCTTATCTACCACAACGATTGAGTCACTGAGTTCAACTTCTACTGAACCAGTGAGTTCAACTTCGACTGAGCCAGTGGATTCAACTACAACTGAGCCATTGAGTTCAAACGTCGACTCCACCACTGAACGCAACTTCCAACTGCAACACTAAGCGTAACTTCCGACTGAGCCAGTGGATTCAACCTCAACTGAGCCACTGAGTTCCACGTCGACAACACCACTGAACGTAACTTCGACTGCAACACTGAACGTAACTTCGACTGAGCCAGTGGATTCAACTTCGACTGTGCCACTAAATTCAACTTCGACTGAACTACTGAGTTCAACGTCGACTCCATCACTGAATTCAACTTTGACAACAGTATCGACTACAAGTGTACCTGGAAACAAGAGCACAGACTGTCCAAGCACAGCGTTTAGCTCTGCTTTCAGAGAAACAGTCTTGGGAATGCATAATAATTTTAGGTGCTTTACTAGACGAATATAAGCTAAAAACATGGCCTATTCAAGATTTGTGAGAGCTAAGAGTTGGTTGAGCGGATATAACAGCAATTCAGTGATAAGGCTTGTTTAGATCGTTAGTCTCAACAGGGCGAGCGAGGAACGCAGAGTATCGCAATGAAAAACGCACCACCGTCCTCACGAATGGATTTGCTGGTGTGGTTTCACCTCTTCTACATGAGTACTTTTTCTGATGTTCTATCCTGTTTATATTACTACTTTAGGTGTATGATTGCACAGCCGAGAACTATGCTCTCAACCATGTGAGATCGTGTGATAGACGGCAATCAGCATCTGCTTCTCGACCTGGTTACCAAGAAAACATTCACATCCTCGAAACAACTGCCACAGATGTTATCGGTGCAATTCAAATGTATGTTCTAGGAATCTATTTCCAAAAGCCCACCGAAGACGTAGCGATATACCCTCGTTTTTTAGAGCGTTTCTTCAAGATGCCGCAGATATTTGTGCACATACAATCTTAAGTTGCCATAGTCTGACATACCCAACTCCCTTTTCTTTATTTATTCATTTCATTTCAGGCAATTGCAACTTTCAACAAAGAGCTCACAATGAATGGCATCCCTTCCAACATGATTTATACACGTGAACTCAGAAATCGTCGACGAAGAACCGTGAATAGGGTTACGAAGGTTTGTGCTTCTGTTTGAGAGGTTCTGCTCATTTGCGTTTCAACAACACTAGCCAAAAGTATACTTTTATGGGACAAGTACATTTGAGATCCTTGAATGACGAATCTACTTCGGTAGAGGTGGTTTTTTTGTTTCACAGGTTCGCATTTGGTATTCAGTCGGTGAGTTAGATGCACAGAAAACTAATATCTAAGTGGACTATAGCTGAGTATGTGCCTGGTTTTATTAATAAAATTCAAACGCACAATATTACTGAACAGTTAAATGTTGGTGATAATTGATTTTTCTATAGGTTATCTGGGGATCGAACCAATACGTAGGCTGTGCAACTCAAGCATGTTGTGGATTTTACTTCACTTCGTGCATGTATAGAGAGCCGTAAGAGTTTGAATCTTGATAATCCTATGACTTGTTTGATAATGACTGAATTTCTTCAGAGTGAACGTTGTCGGACAGAACATCTATAACATTGGTGCAGTGTGTAGTGCCTGCCCTGCTGGTCCCAACAACTGCAGCCTCGCTATTGGGCTCTGCTCTTGGTGATAATCGAGCGTTTTTCATCTTATCAGTGCAGTCACACATTGTTATTTCTGTGTGGAGTGATAATAAATTTTTAGAGAACCAATTGCGAAATACTGTAAGATGTCTCACCTTATAAGATATCGGGCTCTATAAGTTCAGCCCATTCAACAGACCACATGACATGTTGGCTCAAATAATAATAAAGAGATATATTCAAAATTTAAGCGTAGTCTCAATGAAAACATTCGAAATAAAGGTATAATACTATGAAAATATACTAACCCCCGGGTGCACTACACTATGTGTTCGGTGACAATTTCACTTGACATA